GGTAAAAGTGAAAACAAGTTACCCCAATGTATTTTTCCTTCAATGAATTGTAATAAGTACTCAGTACTGTTGTTATACAAATTAATGAAGAAGGTTGTATTATATGGGACATTCTCTGTTGGTTAGAATCTGTCTGTTTGTGTATGGTATCATATGGCCTATTATAAAGAAGCTTTCAATGTATTCCTATATATCTTCTGGCATCATATATTTGTGTATCAACTACTGCACTACTGGATGCTAAGTTTCTTTTAGTATGGTATATTGCATAGTTAGGCATGGAATGAAGGCCAATAGCTTGCTACATTGTATCACAAACAATCCATGTACAGATATAGATGCAAAAATCATGAAATTGCTGTTACAGAAGTTCCATATTGTTATGCACATTTGTTAACCAGGGCAAAACACGAGGGCCATTTTGGTCCCTGACAAATTACATCGAGTACCATTTTGGTCCCTGACAAAATGCACGGGGCCCATTTTGGTCCCTGACCACAGAAAAATAGGACATGACTTCATTGATTTTTCTATCCAGTACAAGTTTACATAACAAAAGTGCATAACAAATGACATGGAGGTCAAACAACTACAATTACATAACTCAGTTAGGCATAACAGTAAAAAAAGGACATGCTTGTATGACATTCATCTACCCTATTAGACATAACAGCTGGAACATTCATCAACCCTGTGACCATTTTGGTCCCTGACAAAATGCATAGGGCCCTTATTGGTCCTTAAACAGAGAAATGGCTGCACATACTTGTCTGCTTTTGTATGCAGTCCAAATTTGTTCAAACAGAAGTGCAATACATCAGATACAGATGCTGTCCAATATGTTCAACCAGTAGACATGCAATACTCAGTTAACAAACATATCTCAGTTACATATATTTGTCCAAGAACTACAAAAGAGTAGTGCATTACAAAATAAAGCCAACTGTCAGGAATAAAAAGAAAGGCCCCTAAATACAATATGGCCAGAATTCAAAAAAAAAAACATTGACTATATGAGGCCTCCAAAAACATAATGGCCAGAATGAACAAAAAAAATCAGTCACATTATATGCAGTCCTTGTCAGTTGGCTCATGCACCACTCCCACTTCATGTACAACATTCATTCATTTTCTTGAGGCAGGCCTTGGTGCCTTAAAACCAGGGGTTGTCATGAAGGCCAAAAATCTGCTTCGTGTGCCACTGGATGCTGTATTCCTTGTTTCCTCACTCAACATTTCATTTGCCTGTTGTGGATTTGATGGAGGTGGGCTGCTTCCTCTCAAGTTGCCTTCATGTGGCTGAGAACTACCATGTGCTGCAGGGCCTCCTTGACTTAATGGGATTTCATCTACTGAGTTGGATCCAATCCTTACAGATTCTGGTCTTGCTTGTCTGTTTTTTTTGTTGGAAGATAGCGGTCCCTTACAGCTCTTTGCATAATGTCCAGTCTGAAGTACACCCACATTTGCACCTACGACCGCCGGTCCTTGTCAATGTTCTTCCCCCCATTGAAGTACTCCCACTTGATCCCCCCATGCCAGAAGAAACGCTCATCTTCTACCATGCCCAGCAAATCTGGTTGATGTCCTCTATTGTCATTGAGTTTCAATCATCAACGTCCAGAGATTTTGGGGGTGTATTGCTGTTTAGGGTTTTGCTCATCAATTTGGGGGATTTGTGTCTGTTTAGGGTTCAATTGAAGGAATTTGGGGTATTTTCATATTTAGGGTTCATGATCAAAGCAAGAAACGACGTCGTGCCCTACTTTGGAAAGCTCTGAACCCATTTGCACAAAACGTCGTCGTTTGCTCATCCACGCTGTCCAACGTCCAAGCCGCGTCAGTACACTAACGGCACCGTTAGTTGGGCCATTATGGTGGAGTTCACAGAAGGACCAACGTGACCCCTTTTTTGTAATTTCAAGAACCAATTTGTTCCTTTTTTATTGCTAGGGACTGAAAAGCCTTTGTGGATATTGCCAGGGACTCAAAAGGGTATTTACTCTTAAATAAATAGCAATAAAACATTCAAAATAAAATAAAATAACATAAATTGAAATAAAAATAATCAAGAGAGAAAATACATATAAAATTAAAAATAAAATTTTAAAGAATTAAAAATAAAAAATAGAAAAAAATAAGTAAATAAAAGAAAAAATAAAAAAAAGTAAAGGAGTGATAAAGAAAAAATCAAGGGATATATATATATATATATATATATATATATATATATATATATATATATATATAAAGAAACTAAAAAGAGACCGCAAATTTAAATATAATCTTAATTATTGAAAAAATATATTTTTTTCGGCTCTAAACAGATTAGTGCTACAAATTTTAATTAATTTAGCGCAACATTGCCGCTGGCGCCACAATTTCTTACGTGGGACAGCTGCTCCTGATTGCTTCTATTCTATCTACCTTATTCTCCTTTCTCTCTCCCTCTTTGGCTTTTCTTCGTTAGATGATGAACGCTAGTTTCATTCAACCGGTAGGTAGAAATGTAACGCCACGTGATAGAAATATCATGAATCATGACTATTGATATGGCCCAATTAATAATTGAGATGAGATAATTATCTCATGCAACAGAGATAAAATAGTGGTGTCCATTATTTTTTATTTTTTTATTTTTTTGAAAAAGTAGTGGACCCCACAATTTTATCTCTGTTGCATGAAATAATTATCTCATGCAACATGAGATTAATAGATCCCTTAATAATTAACGGTTATAAAATTAATGTTTTTAATTAGAAGCAATAATCATTATGGTTATTGTATAGACGTACGGGTAACGAGAGGTTAATTTATTTGCAGTTGGGGATACATGAATGAATTGAATCAATATTCGAAAAGAGAGGGACTTCAAAGACTGTACAAATATGAGATTGTACAGTTGATGATAACTTATAAGAAATAATTGGTACTATTTATACTAACAATATGTATCTACTTTTCGATAGCATAATTGATATTATATATACTAACAAGATACATCTACTTTTCGATAGCTCGGAACGGAAGAACTTCATAGTTAAGAGTACTTAACTTGGACCAATTCTTGGATGAGTGATCTCCTGAGAAATTTTTTCAAGAGTGTGTGAGTGACGACAAAACACATTGAAAAATCTCGTGTTAGTGTGTAGGGACAGTCATTGATTCTTGAAGCGGCCATGCGTTACAGTTACAATGTTAATGCATTTGATTTCAAGCGTTGATCTAGTATATGATGGACGTATTGATAAGTGTCAAAGACACTATATTTTTAATGTCTAATATAGTTCAAATAATAATTAATATGATTGAAAATATAATACTTAATAAAATCTTAAAGGATATTAAAAATGCCAACAACTAGATAAGATTCTAATCTTTTTATTGTTTCAGGTTATTTCATACTAGAAAGAACAAACCACTAGTTTGATGGAAAAGGCAGTTGGGATCAGTTGCAAAGGATAAGGATCAAGAAAAATAAAGAATTAATCAAAATTAATCCTCAGCGAGCCTGGTCCAAATTTAAAAGCTCATTTTTATTTCTATAAAAACACACGTTAGGGCTTATTCTATTAATTCTTGGACGTGACAGAGAAAGGCTAGGAGGCGGCCAAAGATGACTTAGGAGGCAGAGAAGCTCCGTTCCAGACATGAGGAGCGGAGAAATGATCAAAGCTTCGCTGTGGAGACCGGATTTTACGTTTCTTTTAAAAAAATTAGTTTCTTTTAAAAAATTTAGTTTCTTTTCATCTCTTTCTTTAGAGTTTTACTGACTATGTCAGGCTAAATTTATTTAAGTAGTTAGGGCGAGACGGAACCAATGAGTTCTTAAACTTTGTTTATTTTTTCTTGTAATTTATATTCATGATTTAAAGTTATGCAATCAATCTGTTTCTTTATGACTAGCTTTATTTATGAATTGATCACTCGTAGATAAACATATTAATCATGCATGACAATAAGGATGTTAGTGTATTGATTTCGATTGATTGATTGCTAGAGTTTATATGATCTAGGGATAGACTTACGAATTCTATAACGTTCTTGCGTTAATTCTTGTTTTAGGAAAAAGTACTAAAGGATTAGGCTTTTAAATGAAGTAAAGGATCAAATTACCAAGGAATTGGGATTTAATCAAACTTAGAAAATTGTTAATAACTTGATCTAGGACGAATGGGTAGACTTATTAGGAAAATATTGAAGAAGTCGAGTCCTAGTTACATTTTTTTTAGTAAAAGTTAAAACCAATTTTCTCGCATTATTAATTCTTGAGTTAATTTCTTAAATATTGAAAATCAAAAATAATTTTACAATTAATTCTCTCAACAAAATCAATTAAGATAAATCCAACTTTAATTGGATAGATAAATTAGTATTTGATAATCCGTCCTCGTATACTACAGCAAAAGTAGGATTCTACGTCGGTTTTTTTAAGGGACACTGGCGCTTTAAACCGAAGCTGAATTATACTCTAGAGGTTATAAAACCAACGTTGGAATTGGCGCCGTTAGATATTTCTATGGCGTTTTTGGGAAACCGCAGGAATAAACGCCAGCGAATTCAAATCATGATAACTACGGTTTTAAACCGCCGTTGAATTTAGAAAAAATTAAAAAAATATATATATATTTTCATCCATTTAATTTTTACAATCCTTTTCCATGATTCTTCAATCTAAACATAAAAGGTCAGGAAAAAAAATATTTTTCACAACGAAAAATTGCAAATTCATATAATTCACATAGAATATAATTTTTTAACAAAAACATATATTATATTTTTAACATTATGAATAACAATTAATATTTACTTTACACTTGACATTCATCTATTATTACCAAATTTAATGTTTTCCTGTAATACAACAAAACTAATGTAAAACTGGAGCAATTAAATTGATCTTATAGTTCAGATGTCAAACAACATGGAGAACAAGATTCTAGATATTCAAAGCATACTAATAACAAACAAATCATATAATAATAATTGATTGTGCATATACAAACATACATCCAAAAACCACTCACAGCATAGAGAGGAAGCTTTCAATCAATTAATAAGTAATCAGTAATATTGGAAGCATACAAGTGTAGGCGCCTATGGATCCATATACATGAAGACTACCCCTAGCAAGCACAATAAAACCAGAATTTTCATCACTGGAGCTATCATCCGCAAGAAAATTCTCAACAACATCTTCATGTCTTACATAGTCCTTGTCTTCTTTTGTCAATTGTAAGATCCCAGGGTGGTTCCATATCTACTACAGACAATAAATTTCTTTATCATCATTATTCACTAAAACAAGCTAGGAAGCAACCATAATTTAACAGTAAGTTCAAGAATAACTGAACATTCATTTTCAGCTCAAAAGTCAAAAAATTTATGAAAGTCATACTAAAATTAATAGAAAATAATGGGGCAATTCTGAACAACAGAAAATAATAGCATGCATGTATATAGTTCTCATCAGGAAAGGTTCAAGATCCCATTGGAGGACTGGGCAGAGGTTGTGGTTTTTCCACCCCACCCAACAAGCCATATATATGCAAGTTTTTAGAAAACAGATATTGCGATAATTACATAAATTAAAACTCACATGTCATCCTATAACGATTTTATGTATAAAAATATGCATGAAAATGATGGATATAATACAGGTGGATAACAATGAAAATGATTCCTCATCATACAGTCATACCCCATTTTCAGATAATGGCTTCAAAGGAGCGTGATATATCCTTGCAAGTCCAAAGTCAGCAATTTTAACGACTCTATGTTCCTCTCCTTCACCCATAACCTGGTCAAAGAAAATTAATGTAAAGTAAAAATTCACGTAAAATTCACGCAGGGGAGAAAGGAAACAAGATTATGAAAAGCACACCACTTATTCTGAGCTTCATAAAGTATAAGGAACTCAATGGCTTGTGCAGCAGGATCATCAATTTCGATTTTAAGGAAGGATCCTGAGCCAGACTAATAAGAGAAAAGTAAAAGGAAAAATAATCAAACAGTAATGAAATCTATATTTAAATCAGTCAAGCCAGTTTATAAATATTCCTTGAAACTGTTTTTCTTCTGCAGTAATTATTGGAAACTTACTTTCATAAATAAGAGTTCTAAGAGCTCTGTTCTTATAATTTTTGGTTCCATCTGAGCAACGAGAAGGGAGTACCCACTTCCTGGAAACATTAAAAAAGTATAAGGGGGAAACTAAATCTCCTTCAAATTACAACATATTCTTGGGTATCAAGTACAACTCCCTAATGTAAAAAGCAAAGAACCACTACAATTTGAAGCCTGAATATCTACTTGTAATGCAGCACCTGGTGCGGAAGAACTAACATCAACCTGCTCCATTGAATACTTGCATCCATTAGCTAAGAGATTACTACAATCTCATTTATCATTCACGTATACAATATTTTGGGCCAGCCATATACCTGCAATTCAATATTTCCCTCAAGGTTGAACTTCCCTGAAAGCTGCTCCAGGGCAAAAAAAGGTTGAACACAAGATAACATGTGCCCAAATAACTAGTAGATATTCAAGCAACTGTCTTATACACAAGTATTTAATGCCTCAAACGGGTTAATATTATTTTCCAATCAGACAGATAACAACCATAGATCTTACGCACCCATGGAAGGTAGGCAGCAGTGAAAGTAAAGAGGCCAAGGAAGCTCATATGAATAAAGGGATTTCGTTTGCTCCACACGTAAACCTGAAAAAGATAAATTAAGCTTTAACATTTGAGACAGATTTTAACATGTGAACTCAATTACCAAAAATATATAAAAATGTGACTCACCATCATATATCATCCCCCAAGAAGAAAATTCCAGTCAATACAGTGGCACCAAATAAGAGCATGTAAAAGAAATCGGCAGTCCTCCCCCAGAACGAGTTCTCCTCTAGAAGCTTGCAGTACCGAGCAAGAAAAAACATATGAAACAAGAAATCCAAGTCTGCCAAATCAATAAGAAAATACCATGTCAAAGTCAGATGTATGATTCATAAAGCAAATACAATGAGCATTCTCTTCTTCGTTCAGCACCTTCCATGATCGTCAAATATTTTCTCTAACTTTATGTCTTGTAGAGCAACTAAGGTAGTCTCCAGCATGTCAAGCCCTGCCTGGTTTGCGAAAGTGAACATGGGCAACGCCTGCAATAACTGATTCAATGAAGATACTTTCACACAAGTAGTACAAGAGTATAATAATCAGAAAAGTCGATAGTTGACTTGCAATTCTGACAGGTATAACTGCATTTTTTAAGGTACCAAGTAGAAGATGGGTCTATACTCAGGCAAAAGAAAGAATAAAATCTAAGTAATTCACTATAACTCATAATGTTGAACAACCTCTGAGCCCATTCCTAAAAAATACCAAGCAATCATAGTGCAACTAAATATTTTCATTATTTTTTTACACCAGAGAAACCGAGTTGCATTATATACAGAGAAGGTACATGACATAATAGATGCATGTTCTGTGAAATTGAATAAATTTTGAGCATAACTTTACAGTGCAACACAATATTATACAAGAGAGGTGTATGTGGCGGCCATGCAAGGCTAGTGAGGAGGAATCTTCATGACACATGGCCATCATGCACCACATGAGTCTCATGTAATGGTTGAAGTGTAAGATTTCCAATTGTACTAAAATTCTAAGGTGTCAGAATTAATAAAATTCAGAATTTACCTAGGAAAAATTAACGAGCTGTCATAAAAATACACTACAAATTAAACATATAAGACAAAAATTATATGCATGAAAAAACCAATAATTGAACGGATGAATCTGTATCAGTCCAAACTGAAAATCTTATAGCTGAACATGCATCTTGATTCCCATATGAAACAAGAAAATATTCTGCACTTTAAATCATCCAACTCGTCAACACTGGCACTTCGCCAAATAAACTACTTTTGTATTTCTCAATTCAATTAGCCTCAACCATTATCTTCATTATCCAAACATTACGCCAAACTAATATACACACATTTTGAACCTAAGCCTGCTTAGCTTATGATTTTTAACAGCATAATGTTATTCTACAGTATTGGTTTATTTAAAAAATCACAACCAAAAATCTCAAACAGAACAGGGAAATTGAGAACATTCAGAAAATAGAAGCAACGTGTACCTGTTAGAAGCGTGTACTTCCCCATATCTCAACCCCGTTGTTTGCACTAGCTTGAAGTTCGCCATCGACGAGCCACATTATGTTGCTGTGGAAGAGCATCTCGACGTGGCCGGTTTCTCCGCCGGAGAAGTTGCGACGGAAGAGCTCCCGGAAGGGGTCGCAGTTGTAGATGCGAAAGATGGCGTCGATTGCGGCTGCGAAGCAGGAATGGTATGGATTGAATGAGACTCGGAGGAGCGATATGGGAGATTCCGGAGAAGGGGTTTGAGTTTGAGATTGGGGAAGCATTGTGGAATCGAAATTAAAGATTTGGGATTGGTAGAGGAAAAGGTAGGATTAGGATTGGGGTTTGGCTAAGAAGGTGAAGAAGAGAAATAAAAAGTGGCCATTCAGAAATAGCAACTGATATGCGTTTGTTGCTAAAAAGGTAAAACATATTCGATGCGCTAATGGGATATTTACTACCGTCAAGAGAGAGAGAAAAGACTTAATAAGTAGCTTAGGGGCGCTTTAATTGCTTGATTTAGGGTCGGCTTCTAAAACAGCCATCAAAACACCGCCTTTGTATCTCGGTTTTCTTGTAGTGGTAGGATTGACAACCTTATTTTATCACTTTATTATTTGTACGAATGATGCACTTGCCGAAGTCGCAACACGTACCATATTAAAGATAATTGAATATATATTAGGATTGATCTTCTTTCTCCTTCACCAAGTGTCATTCCTCCAGAAGAAAAACATAAAAAGAAAAGAAGGCTCTAAAGAGAAAAATCATCCTAATGTTGTTGTGAAAAAGATGGCTAGTGTCTTTCCCTTATCATCATTTTTGGGTATGTCTTTATCTTTGGTATACGTAAGAATCATGTTTTTCCAATATCCTTTATCATGTTCTTATTTATGATTTGTGAACATGATATATTATTTGTAAGCTAACATGTGGTATGAGAGGATGTGTTTAGGAATTCATGATTTTTCATATATGGTTATGAATGTATTCTTGATTTTGAAAAATTAGGAATTGTAAAAATTTATGATTTTTCCTTTAATGATTTATGGATGATCGATTGAAAATTAAAATTCAATTACGTTTTCTTTATGTCCGTTTTGTAACAATCGCTTCCGGAATTGGACCTGTTGCCTTTTATTTATATATGAAGTTGATATTTACAAAGCAAAAGAAACACTTTATGGCTTAATGTTTATATATATAATTATATATATAAAGTGCTGAATTGAAATGTGTTTATGTGATGTAGTTGGATTAAAATTGAATGTGAAATTTTAATCCTATAATTGTTTAGAAAAATGTTTGTGCTTGGAATTGTTGTGGATATAATTAGTATGAAAAATATGCATTGTTTATGTTATGAATCATGCAGTATGTATAATGGCATGATCTTTTCTCCTCTTGAATGAATTTTTATACTGATTCCAAGCAGCATTTTTTTCCCAAACGCTTAAAAAACCAGAAGTCCAGAACAAAGTAGAACAATTTGTTAGGAATCTAAACCTTGAATTTTATAATGTGCAATGGTCAAAGAAGCATCTTTACTAGCAAGTAGATAGCAAAATCCGTTCCCAACCTCCACATTCCAAGCATAGCATATAGAGAGAGAGAGAGAAACATTAACAATGAACAGAACACAGAAAGATTGAAAGAAAGAGAGAGAAACTCAAACATGAGAGAGAGAGAGAATATTGGGAGAGGAGGCGACTGACAGCTTCGTTGGGATCCATGCTACAGCCTCTGAGCATAGCATAGAATCTTCCCCGACAACCCCTTCACGCCGCCATTGTTGTGGAGGACAGCTTAAGGGTTACTTATTACTAGTACCACACCTTTAATTTATAAATCATTAAACTCTTTATAGCTATTCGAAAGGCACCATCTAGTGTAAAGTTGATTTGCAAAGGCGCGGGCTGCTCTATTCAAGTCTTTGTGTCGTGTCAACCAAGTCGTGGGTTTTTGTCTTTTGTGAAAACTGTCGGGTCTTACCAGTGAATGGTTCACCGGTTTACGGGTCAAATTGGTCGGTCCGGATCAGTTTTAATAACATTGGTGTAAACATTTCTTCGTTGCATCTATTCATCATTTTTCTTTGCACTCAGAATATAAAAAATTGTCATCAATTTTCTTTATCAACCCAGTCTGGTGAATGGTTCACCTTAGCATTCCATTCGTTGCATCTATTCATCATTTTTCTTTGCATTCAGAATATAAAAAATTGTCATCAATTTTCTTTATCAACGTTATATATTTTTGCATTAGAAAATCATGATAGACTTGCATCCTTAAAAAATCAAATTATCATTAGCATTTGTATAATAGAATGACCATTATTGTATCCAACATGATAAAAAAAACAAAAACAAAAGAGAGCAACTTTTCATATGGATAAAGTAGTCATTTTTAGGAATTAGCATGATATTTCATCTTACATAACATTTGCGTCCTATCATAAAAAGAACAAAGTGTAATAAGTGCTCATTTTTTCATTCAAAACAAGTAGTTTTTCATGACAAATAAAAGGGGTTTATAATTCTCATTTAAAAATATATTTTTTCAACCTGTGTAATTAGGGTATGATTGTGCAATAATGTGTTGCTCAAGTGTAAACACTTTTGAATTGCTATTTTTCCTTGGAAAATTTTAATCCATCAAATCTTACACATCAAAACTCATTGCAAACTTAAGGGTGTATTGGATTGAGATTTCAAAGGATTTTAATGGATTGTTTTTGGACAAAAAAATTCATTGATATTCGATTAGGATTTTAATGGATTGAAAAAAAGTCATGTGGTATTCGATTAGGATTTTAAAGAATTATTTCAGAATCCGTCCAAATTCGTTGATATTCAATTAGGATTTTAAACAATGGAATCCCAATCTCGTGGTATTCAAAAATCCGATGATTTTAATGGATTTTCTATTAGTGTGGATTTCGTGAGACTTTTTAGTGAAAAATATAAATAGGATGCCTCTCTCACAATCTTACCCTAACCCCTAGGATTTCTTGAGATTCTTCTATTGCAGTATTTTCTTCTTCCTTTGGCAGGTTGACTACTCGTAAACAGATTTCGCCATGGGAGCTGTAACACCCCGTTCTAGAACCGGTTTGTTATCACTGCTTTATGATATTAAGCGCAGTTACAATCACATTGATTCAAGGGAAAACTTCAAAAAAAACCCTATGAGTTTTCTTAATTATCACTTACCTCCCTTATAAATTTTTTAAATCATTTACACCTTTATTTAGATTTTTTTTATCACTTACCCCCCTGACTTAAAGTTTCTTTATCACTTACCCCCCTCACTTAGGGGGATAAATGATAAAATCACTTTCAGTCAGGGGAGTAAATGATTCAAAATTTTGGGGAAGGGGTAAATGATTATGAAGAAAGTTACATGGGTTTTTTTTTGAAGTTTTCCCTTGATTCAATTAGAAATCCGAATAAATTTTCTTTTTGAGCAAAGCCGAATTAAAATAACCAATTGTGTGACCATAACTGTATGATATTTCGGAATAAATGAAACTTAAGCTTAACATCATATTCTTATTTCGTCCAAGTTCAATACTAAACTATCTTCACTTTTTATTAAATTGGGAATTATATACTTTCTTTATAGTTCTCATCTCACACTATGTTATAGATCTCTTCGTTAGCTTCGCGTGGGTTCAAACTGCGCTCAAATCGGAGATCTGTAGCTCAAGCTATGCTAATTTTACTAAACTATGCTCATGTTGTTTTCGGGATACGCGCTCGAGCACTCAACTTTTCCCAGGAGGTGTGCGAGTGAGGACAAAACACGCTGAAAAGTCTCATGTTAGTATGTGGTGACAGTCGTTAATCCTTGCAAGTTGCCAGGCGTTACAGGAGCTTCGTCAAAACTAAAAAATATATATTTTTAAGCGATTTTCATTACAAAACAACCCAGAAACAACAAATCAACGAGATTTTAATATAATCTATCTCAAAAATAACATATTTTTGAGCCATTTTTGAGAAATTTTGAAAATTTAAAAAGTGATTTTTCAAGTTATGGGTCACGATTTTTCTTGGCACAAAAACGTGTGATTTTTGTGTTAAAAACAACATAAAACAGTGAAAAAATAACAGAAAACTAAAACCCTCAAACCAATTTTTGTTTTATATCAATGAAACAATATCAATTGAAAGAAAGATTGAAACTTTCATAACATGAACCCTATATTTCGTAACAATACATTCATGAACGAAATTCCTTCACTATAGGAAACAATTTCAAACAATTTTTGTATTAATAGATTTATTTCTCAAAAGCCCCAAAGCAATTTAAGGTTTCAATGTATCGATTGAAAAAAAATTGAAATTTTTTCTAAACTTTCATGTAATTAAACCCAAAATTTCAGATTCGAAATTTTATTAGAATATTCAATGAAAATATGCATATGATATATGGTTAGAAAACTCTTATCATGTAAAATAAAAATCCCAAAGTTTTCAAGATCAATTGCAAAAAATTCCAAACGAGATTTTATCATGAACTTTAGGTTCTATATGCAAATTTAGAATTATTTTTATAATTAAAAAATTTGGGTCTTATAATCATATATGCATAGCTTTGATACCAAATGAAGAAGATAATTTTCAACCCATTAGATATGTGAAAAGCTGTTGTTTAGTAATTCTGAATGTTTGTTAAAAATTATATTATGATTTACTGATTGAAAAAATTATATTAGGTTTTACTTTTTTTATTATTTTCATTGCATTTCTTTGTTATTTTTTTATGGGGAAGATTATACTTACACCCTATTTTTGTTTACAACCTTTTACAACGATATCTTAACCGTTGATTTCCGTCAATCAACGATTATTATTATCTCAAATCAAACTCATTAATTAATATTTAATTTGCAATGAATGATAACCGTTGATTGACGGAAATCAACGGTTACGATATGATTGTAAAATGTTGTAAACAAAAATAGGTTGTAAGTATAAACTTTTCCTTTTTATTGACTCTTGTAATTTTGAATGTTTGTTAAAAATTCATATGATTTTTTAAAATCTTATAAATTCATATTATTATTTCAAATCTTATAAATTCTATTAAAATCCTTTAAAATCTAATCTTTTTTTTTTTTGATAACATAAAATCTAATCTTATGAAATATTGATTGTAAAAAAAGTCTTTTAAAAAAGTCTTTAAAGTCTCTCCAATTCTAAATAGTCTTTTAAAATATATAAGATTTTTTAGCTCAAAAGAAATCTTTTAAAATACTAATCCAATACACCCCTTAACTCCAAGACGTGGAATCCAAAGAAATTTGTGATACGAGCAATTGAAAATCAGGAAATGATAGAACGACAAACAAGGATAGAGGACCAACCAATTTCTTTATATATTTTTTAAAAAAAGAGTTAAAAATCTTAACGTCCTTTAACTTTTTTTCAAAATTATTTCTT